AAAAAAAAAAAAAAAAAAAAAGCAGAAGAAAAAGAAAACAAAGCAAAGGAAGGACGTCCGGGAAGGGTTGTGCTCACACAAGTTGTTCGAATAACGAATCCAGCCACGAATCAGGCTGGTTTCAGTTTCAGTTTTTTATTTTTCTTTTCATTCTTTAGTTTCAATGCCCTGCCAGTGAGTCAGGGCACATTCCACGGGCCCTGAGACTTTCTCACGGAGGGCACACACACACCATTGCTCACGATTCTGTATCTGCCCGCTATCCTCTCCTTAGGGTAGTTGCACTTCTTTTCTTTTTTGCTCAATTGGGGACCTGACTGACCCATTGTTCAGGGTTTTTTTTTTTTTTTCCAGTTTCAATGCCCTGCCAGTGAGGCGGGGCGCATTCCACGGGCCCTGACACTTGCTTAGGGAGGGCACACACACTACTGCTCATGATGCTGTATCTGCCCACTATCCTGTCCTTAGGGTAGTTGCTCTTTTTTCCTTTTTTGCCCATTCATGGACGTGACTGCGTCGTGCCTTCACTGAGGGCACACTCACACAACTACTCAACTTAAGGAATCTACTTGATATCACGTCCACGTCCGCATAGTTGTTCCCCTGTCTCTTATACACATCTAGATGTGTATAAGAGACAGTGCTTAGGGAGGGCACACACACTACTGCTCATGATGCTGTATCTGCCCACTATCCTGTCCTTAGGGTAGTTGCTCTTTTTTCCTTTTTTGCCCATTCATGGACGTGACTGCGTCGTGCCTTCACTGAGGGCACACTCACACAACTACTCAACTTAAGGAATCTACTTGATATCACGTCCACGTCCGCATAGTTGTTCCCTTGTTTTATTTTTTGTTCATGGATTTATTTTTCTTCTTCTTCGAAAAAGCACCTCGTTTATGGATTTCGCCAAGCATCTTCTCGTTTTTGAATGCTACACTTCTTTTTTATTGTTTTTTCGCAAAAGTACGCAAAAAAAATGAAACGGAACGTAGGCTCGGGCAAAACTTGGTGCGCAGTGAAATTCAGGGTAGCCAAAAACAGGCTCGGAGGTAGTGGTGGTTTGAGATACCGCGTGCCAAACTGGCCCGTCGATCCTGTAGTACCCGACGGCCAAGATCGCAGATTTATTACATGTTATCGCCAATCCACGCAGTCCGCCAGTAGGATCGACGACGGCCTGGATCACCGATTGGCCCCCTTAGCGATTTTTATAGTGCAAGGATACATCTCTCTGACTACCTTTGACACTGTTCATGAACAGTGCCAGTGCGAGTCTTCCCACCGGTGTGAAACCAAACATTGCACGCCTATCCCTCCTCTAGAGAGTCCGGAGACTCGTGAGAGTCCCGTAAAACTTTTGCTCCTTCAAAAGAAGAGAACCAGACATAACATGCTACTCGACACTTTCGAATCTTCCTGGCATCCAAATTGAATATTCCAGAAGGGTTTCTAGTCATTCCCTCGTCCCAAAGTTTTGAAAAAACAAGCTGTGTGTGTACGCATCCACGACCCGACACGGTTCCACCACACGGCAATTGTGGCGACGACCGGCCAGGAAAGTCCTACCATCGTCACCCGAATAGAGCGCCCGGTCATTATGGCTGTCCAGTCCAGGTACTGCCATTATTACCAGGCGTTTATTCGCATAAAGACAGTAGTGTCGGTACATCGTAAGTAGTCGAAACCACTCTCATTACAGTTCACCAACCACATTCCAGTGCTTCCCAACAAGGTGTTGACATCAACTATAAATAGGACAAAAACAGGGAGTGAAGGTCAATTTCATATGTTGATGTCTCAATATATCCAGTTGAACAACTTCAAAGAGGACACAAGACACTCAATCAATTTTGCACATTTACCTGTAAATATATGCAGCTATGCCGAGCACAACAGCGAGCAAGATAATATCGATGCAGAAATTCCGACTGGACCGTAGCTGTACAGAGACGAAATCGACAAACAAAATCAAGAGGCCACACAACAGTGATGAGAGTCGATACCGCAATCACTGTTCTTCATGGTTCACTGGCATTTGCTGGTACCATCCCATGCCCGAGCTTTTATGCTAGGGGTCTACCAAGAATGAATAAATATATATGCGCAGAACCTTGTAAAAAAAAAAAAACAGCAATGGCCTTGCGATATCATCGCCAAGCTGACCGACCTCTGGGATAATTCAGGTTTTTCATTCACCTAGGTGCAGTTGGATTCGTACTCAGGTCTGTATTTCAACAGTTCATGCATGTACCAACTGCTCTGGGCCCGCTGGCAATCGTGTTCACAACCTTTACTTGGGACTATCCAAGGGTCCAGTAGGGGTTCAAAAATGACCGAATCCACTTAAGTCCAGCTAAAGCCAAGAAACTCCTCTCGTGCCACAGCTTGTTTTCCATGAATCAAAATAATTCTCGGTCCAATCCTGTTCGTGTCCCATTCCCATAACGTCCCGCTCCACTACTTCAATCAGCCTTGGGGATCAGTCAGACCCCTGCAGACCATGTTGATGCCCATCCCAAATACCAGGGCTCACCATCGCAGCAACGGTGAAGGAAGCAAGCGGCAGAAAAATACAGAGACGAATAGAGAGCGAGAGAGAGCGAGAGAGAGTGAGAGAGAGCAAGAGAGAGAGAGAAAGCAAGAGCGAGAGAGAGAGAGAGAGAGAGAGAGAGAGAGGGAGGGAGGGAGGGAGGGAGGGAGGGAGAGACCGGAATGACAACCAACCACCACAATGAATCCCACCACACGCAATCCCATTAGGCGCAGGGGGAGGAGAGCAGCAGGGGGGGTAACGGACATGCATCAGCATGCAGCAGCCAAGTGAAAGGGATGGAGAGCAGAACGAGTGTGAGCAGGAAGAGTTGGAGCAAAGGAAATGAGAAGGACCCAGCCCACCAGGAACGGATGAAGCGTGGAACCAGTGGGATCCACTGGGCATTTGATCTTTCCACTAACCAGCACGATCAGATTACCTGTCACCCACACACGGGCAGGGCATCAGGCAGCACGATCAAGCCTGAAGAAGCACTCCTACAACCGTCTCTTTGATTGATGTGTACCATGAGTGCTTTCTGGCAATAGCAGACTATCTTATCATCCCTTGCAGTCCCGACAGTTGCGGTAATCACTTGTGCGGCTGAAGCTGTAAACTCACCTGCAACTGGGGCCATATGGGGTGGTTTACCGGGATGTCGAGGTTCCAGCCTCTCTCTTTCAGCAAAGAAACTTCACCGGTTCTGAGGCTTTATGTCATTCTGTGACACAACGGGCATTGCTGATCTGTGTAACTTTCCAATCAATTCAATGGATGTCCCAAAGAACGACGTTTCCAGCCTCCTGATGAGCTCGCACCGGGACACTTCTTCTGCTTCCGAGGTATTTTTTGCATCTTAAATAGGCTTGCATGAGTCGCCTCTCTGGGAAGGTGGCAGTGCTCATCAGAGAAGAATAGTGAGGCCATCAGCGCAACATTGGTCGATGTCTCCATGCCATATGCTCAGGCCAGCACTGTCTCAATGCCATCCATACGCTCAGGCCAGTCCTCGCCCCTTTCGTTTTCTTCTCTTTTTTTTTTTTTGAGGCCAGCCCTCCCCCTTTTCCTTCCTTATGGCGACAGTTCATTTTCTGTTGAATACTTGATTATTCCCTGTTGCAGAGCCACACGCAACACTTACAGATTTTATTTTATCTTCTTCATTTGAAAAAAAAAACACAAAAAGATCGGGCAGTGACTTTCGACATTATTGTACTTTATGCTCTGTTCACCGAAAGCTATATCACATGTGTGAACCACTCCGCCATGTGGGCTGGGTGATTATCTTTCCTTGCAACAGCAGTGCATTATTCTTCTAAGCATGGAAGGTAAAATTTTCGACAACGCGATCACTCACAGAGGCACACCATTTGTTTCACATGCACTCACCGACGTCACAGTATCCTTCAATCGTTTATTTGTAGTTCTCATTTCTGCATTTGCTTTGTCAACCTGCAAAATAAAGAATGCGGAAGGCAGGATCAACCTCGTGTTACAAGAAATTGAAAAAAAAACTTAAAAAAGAAGAAAACAAAGTTGAACAAACAAAGTGGAAACCAGCTTCACCAGCTTCACAAGTACACCAGAGCATTTGCATTTGGCCAACAACGACGAAAATAAAAGCTGAACCACCATCATTAGTTTTTATTGGAGGCCCCTAGCAGTGTGCAGGCACACCAGGCTGCCTACCAGGGGTGAAGACGCCTGGTTGAGATTGGGCACTGGCGCCGTCCAGGACACAGGCAGGCGTCGACGACCAGGCAGCCTTCTGTGCAGGTGTGAGCAGCCGGGTAGCCTTCCGGGCAGGTGTGGGCGGCCTGCGCACCCAAAAAAATAACCCGCTCTCGCATTCAATTCCCAAACTTTCTGGATAGCAGACGTCGGACCGCGATAGAACTTTGAACATAACTTTCAGCACATTGGCACGCTAGCAATGGAAGGATCATTGTTGGAGAAGGGGTTAGAAGCAGACAGAAGGGGAAAATAATCCCCCTTGTAGCCAAGCCTGCATGATCCTCATTCCTGCCATCAGCCTTTCCCACAACAGTTGTAAGCTGCCATCATTTTCAATGCGTCCTCGCAGGGGATGGATCATTGTTGGAAAAGGGGTCGGAAGCGGAGAAGGGGAAAATAATCCCCCTTGTAGTCAAGCCTGCATGATCCTCGCTCCCGCCATCAGCCTTTCCACGACAGTTTTGTAGCTGCTATCATTTTCAACTCGTCCTCGCAAGGGATGTTCACCGTCTCAGGAGAATGCCACCGCTTCTGCTGAAAGCAGCATCAACATCATGCTTGCGATAGGCGACTTACATCCACCATAGCTTCTTTTATGTTCTTCCTGAGAATGTGAACGAACATCCACAGCCCGAAATCTACACTCTGTGCTTCACACCAGAATGCAGAGTCTGAAACAGATTCGAAACTGATACACAAATTTGGATTTCAATGTGCAGAGTTTTCTGTCTTAATTAATTGCCAGGAAGTTGTTTCGCTTATCAGGTTACTGGGAGGTTAGTCGGGTTATATATCCGGTCACATCCAAATTTCGCTTATCCTTGATGAACCTCCCCATATGGTTGCATTGCGATCCAACAACTAAATATCTCAATTTTTGTGGCACCACTATCATCGTGGTTGCTGCAAAATTTCCTATTTCCGTTAACCCCCTTGGCTATATTTTATTAGCTCCCACTGATCTTCTTTTTCTTCTTTTTCTTCTTTTTCTCCTTTATAAAAAAAGGAAAAGGGTGACGGCCTGGAGATATAAACATCGAACTGAGCGGCCCCAGATAATTCAGAACGATTGCATTCTGTTCATCTTCTGGATTCGAACTTGGGTCTGTACTTTAACAGTTCATGAGCGTACCAACTGAGGTAGGCCCGTCGATCTCAACTGGGCTTTTCTTTCTGTGAACAGTATCTGGATTCGAACTTGGGTCTGTTCTTTAAGAGTTCACGGGTATACCAACTGCGCTAGGCCCGTCGATCCCAACTGGTCTTTCTTTCTGTGACTTTTCACCTTCTTTCTGAAAATTGCAACATTTCTTGTATCGATTTGGTCTGTCAGAAACTCCATTCCTGACAACCTCGAGACCTCTCCATACCACCAGTTGTCCACCACTTCCCCTCCCGCATTCTGGCCAAAAGGAGCCTTGTTTTTTTATAGATCTTCCCTTGAGACTGTGCAATCGATCAACGATCAATTTTCTCACTCAGTTCATTACAATCAACTGATCTGCAAAATTGCACAAGCCACAAATCCATTGGCCCCCATTGGCAGTGAAGATAACTGCTGCTGCGATTCTCAAAGGTGCACGTGCAGGCAAACAGCAACAGGCCTGACAACAGGCGGGTACTGCCTTGCCCCCAAAGAAAGAGAGTATGGATCTACCAGACCTGTATAGAGCCTGAAAGTACCATCATATACAGATAGAAGAAGCGCAAATTTTGCTCAGAGGAAGACGGTACAACAGGCACTGCAAGAACCAAGCCAAGCTACGAACAGCTACATGGCCAGCGACAGCATATCGAGCATCTAGTTCAGCAAAACATCTGTCTGCCTTTGATTGTATTCCCTTTCCTTTCCACATCTGCATACCAAGCGTCCGGTGCCACGTCCATATAAAGTATTATAAACAGAGGATCAAAAGTTTGAAACCATTGCAAGGAGTTGATTGCAACAGAAACAACTTTCGCCGGATCGATGGTCAATTCAAAATTCCCAACCACATTCCGGTCTTTGTGCAGGGAGGGGAGCAAGGTGAGGGGAAGGGGAAGGGGAAAAAAAAAAAAAAAAAGGCTTTCTGAAGTACCGTGCGCTGGATACTGTCCGAGAAAGTTCAGACCCTCCTTTCCATATCCAGAAAAAACAAACAAACAAAAAAAAAAGAGCATAACCAAGCTTTTACCCATCCATGTATAAAGGAATGTACAAACAATAAAGGAAGAAAGAAGAACACACCATATCCACCGTCTACCGAGTTGTCAAGGAGATTACAATCAAGAAAAAGGGAGAAAAAACACACCTTGTTGTGCATCTCATCTACTAGTGGCTCCTGATTTTCCAGCTCCTGTTATGACAAACATCCAAACGGAGAACAATTAGCAGACGTGGAGAAAATATGAGTTAACTTTTCCTTCCTTTTGCCAGCACTTTTCATACCTCTCAGTTACATCCACAACAATGGCACAGCGGAAAAAAAAAAAAAAAAAAAAAAAAAGAAGAAGAAGAAGAAGAAGAAACTCCGTCCAAAGATCACTCCACTCCACCTCCTTTGGGTTCCTCCTCCTTCACTGCAGATTGTCCGCATATTGCTCAACATTGACATACAAAAAAGCAAGGACACTGATGTGGCACGTCTGACCAGCATTCTTAGGAATGGCATCATCAGACATCACCTTCCCTGTGTAAGTGGGTGCCTTTCATTACAGGATCCATCCGATATCCGTGCCTCATTGCCGTGCAGCATCCCAAAGGAGACGAGAGCACTGCATAAAAAAAGACTAAGGACCAAATGACTTAACATTCACCTGTCTTATCACTACCGCAACAGCTCACTAAATTGGATCCTTCCTGGCAACAATCTCCCCTACACACCCCAAAAACCAAACCCCCTGGCACTCTCAGCAGAGCTGTCCTCACATCCACACTCCTTGGCACACCACTGCAAAGCTTCCTGCCTGCCCCACCCGCTAAACACTCTGACCAACCCCCATGATATCACACAAGCACCCTCGACAACCCCTCTGCCCCAACTCCCTAGGAAACCACTGTGAACACCACTCTACCACCCCATGACCTGCAGTTCCAGAAAAAGAAAAGCCTGACACATGTACCAGGACGGAAATCGGACAGTGGTGCAACCATAGGTGGGGTGGAAATCGACCGACGCAGATCCTGAAAGTATAGCTCTCCAGAATAGTCGATGAACTTCCATCAAGTTAGCAGTGAAACCGACTCCGCATGACATAAAAGTGTTCATCTATTCGGTCCTATCAAAAGGGCCTTCCAGACCAATGAAATAAATCACCCATCGCTCAGCTCCACAATGTGCCAAAACAATCAGGAGGTTTTACACCGTACCAAAACACACCAAGAAACAGGGCACACCCTGGCACAGACCATAGGCCCCGAGAATACATTGCATTGATTTCTTTCACAGCCCTTGCCGTCAAATCCAATTGTACACAACAATCAATAATAAGGGATAACTCCTTCAACAAATTCTACAGTATCACTGCATTGTTGCACACAGACTGTTCTTAACAGCCAGCACTCTTCTTACCTGATGGATGTCCTCAGCCATGTTCTTCAAAGTATTCAATCCTTGCGAGACAATCTCCAAACCTTCATCCTGTTATCAAGAATCATCGTCATTTGTGGATTCACATGTCCCCAACGACCAAAATTTAACACAAACAAAAACATAGATGTAATGCATCCAGTCTCCGAGGATCTCAAACACAGTGTTCACTAGTCGGGGCATATTAAGAAGACCCCAACCGTCCCACCCCACCTGAAACAGGCCAGCGATCTAAGCAAAGGTCACAGATCCTATCACAGAGCTAAACAGGGCAGGGTGTTTCACTGCAAAAAATGCAAACAAAGCAATCCATAAGCCTGTACAATATTTTTGTCCATTTTTGTCATGGGTTTTGCTCCTCTTTTTTTTTTTTTTTAAGTATGCGACACAAAGTTCACACGCCAGATTGTTAGCCGTTCGACGTGTACAAACTCAATCCTTCCCTTGGAAAGCTCATATACGTTCTTGGCCATACTTTAATTGGACGCTTTGCTGTCTTCCCCTAGAAACAACACACCGTCATCACGAACATATACAAGCTATCTACCTGTCCTATACAGTCATGATGACTGTGAGCTGTGTTCGGGGGAAGACGGCAGCAGTATAGGAAGCCCCGCTGAGAGTAGGGTGCACCAAAGACTTAGCAAACTTGTCACCTTTTCCACTAAATCGACGGGAAACCCCCAGGGCACCCATGAAAATGCATATATATCGCATGCAAGTTAGCAGTCTCCCAAGCCTGGTGAGAAAAACGCCACATTCTCCGAAACTAATAAGTCAGGCACATTTTTCTTCATCCACTGCACCAAACAACCTGCTCCCGTGAATAAGCACCTGAAAACTTCTCTTCCATACCCCCTCTTCAACTGTCTAGCAGGGACTTGAGAGAGATCTATCAACAAAACGTGGATTGCGATTCAGCCAAATGATTTTCTTGCTTCGATCTGAACGAAAAATCTTGTTTCAGTGGGCACCTCGAGGCTGATTTGCCTATGCTGATTTACTGATATTGTTCAAGCAAGAGTTGGTTGAATGATTGGGTCAGACGAAAGACACACAGCCATACTGATAACACAGGCAACCTCCTGATCTCAGCAGGCACTATGACGTCTGACACTGTTTACCGAGATCATCAAAATGACGGACACAGGACAGCATAAAACATGATAAGATAATACTCTGAACCTGCGTAGCATCGCATTCGGGCTCAGTGACCGAACCCAAACGCTCGGTACCGAGATCGAACGTGGCCCAAAATAGACCAAGCCTGAACATTTTTCTTTTTTGTATTTTTTATTTTTTTTATTTTATTTATATATATATAGGGGTTGGGGGGTCCTGGGGGTCATTGCTCATCACTCCTGAACACACACACACACACACACACACACACAGCATAGACACCCCACACACACTCCACACACCACACACACGAGGCCACGCTCGGCAGCCCCCTTATTTGCGCTCAGCCGAACATGTTCGGTTCCCGCTCGGCCAAGCGTACGAACATGTTCGGCTGCTCGGTGGGGCGCCGAACATGTTCGATGTGCTACACAACTCTGAACCAATATCAGAATGACAGAGACAGGACAACATGAAGCATGACAAGATAATGTTCTCACCAATGAGAAAGACTACCGTCTTCACCCAGATAGAACACCCGGTAATTATCGCCATATCTGGGCTGAAAGTTGTGCCAAACACAGCTATAATGACCGGGCGTTACATTCGGGTGAACACGGTAGCGTGCCAAGAAAGATGAGTGAAGATTTAGATGGATTCCATTAGGGCGACAAGGCAAGACAAACCCATAACAAGAGAGCAGCCATCCATGAAAAACCCAAAGTGAGCAAAGTTTACATATCGTGTCAATCGGCAACGTTTAGGATGCCGAAGAACGGAACACAAGACCCAAGACACTGCCACAGTACCAGCACTATGAGACAACAAGCGCACCATGACGGACACCCAACAGATACACAAAAATGACTAAGGATACTATAGTATTTCGAAAACACAGAAAGACTAAAACCAAGAGAGAGGGACGGGGACTGCCATCATCTATCTATCCTCGCCCCTCAAAAGAAGTCGGCGGTTCTCAAAAACAAGATCTGACACGCAGGTGCAGCCGGGTAAACAGTTAAAAATCCCAAAAGAAAAAAAGCCACCCTGCAAAGACTATCAGCACAGTGATGGGACAATGTAACACCATAGCCAGCAACACAAGCAAGGGGTTGTCCAGCTGAATGTGAACGACAAGTTCACATTTAGTTTTGCCGTTTGTTTCGCAAAGTGCGCTCTTTTAGTTCATAGTTATGTGACAATACATTGAGAAAAAGACTACTAAACAAAAGATGAGCAGACGCGACTCTGGAACCAATCAGCAACTGTGAAGTTGGCATGCCAATTCCCCCCAAAAAAGCACAAACAATAAAAGAGACTATCATATCAGTACAGCCCCAAAAGCCTAACAACAGAGCAGTGCCATGCAGTACACCCACGTTACATGGAAAAAAAGAGATCATCTTCACCACTACGCAGACCAGGAACACTAGACATATCAATGTACGAAAATTTCCGTCCTTTCTAATCCCATCCACGTCGCCTACTGCCACCACAAACCGCAGAGTACGTGGTAAATATAGCAGAGCTCCCTTGGTAACCATTGTGAGACTTCTCTAGACACGTAACGGCCATCATCATGACCAAGAAATCCCCCACACAGAGGTAAGGTAGACACAAACTAAGAAAGAAAGACTGCAGCAAACAGCGCTTTCCAACCTGTTTTTGCTTCCTCATTTCGAACTCTTGCCGGTAGGCTTTTGAATCCTCTGTCTGTTGATAGCGCTCCGGGTTGAGTTGGACATCATCTGTAAAGTTCACAGAACAACAAGACAAAAGGAAGACGTCATTGAGATCCCTGTCGACAAGTGAGGTAGAATACCTGCGATATCTTCACACCAGACACACAAGCTCCTGCTAATCCACACAACTGACATCAAGCTGAAAAGAGCATACGACATACATAACACATTTCGATGCAGGACAACGTCCCAGCACCATGACAAGGACAGATCTCCATCCAGATCAGACAAAAGGGTTGCACCGAAGCAATCGATGTCACTATGACAAATGCCATACATGAGACGCTTCTATGCATCTCTCTCTCTCTCTCTCTCTCTCTCTCTCTCTCTCTCTCTCTCTCTCTCTCTCTCTCTCTCTCTCTCTCTCTCTCTCTCTCTNCTCTCTCTCTCTCTCTCTCTCTCTCTCTCTCTCTCTCTCTCTGTCTCTCTCTGTGCGTGTGTGTGTGTGTGTGGCCACTGCCCCCTCCTTTCTCTGTGTGTGTGTGTGTTTACCCCGCCATACAGAGCCTCGCCATGTTTTCCTTGAGAGTACAGACTACATACGCCTAAACATTACGCACGCACTATTAGCAGCACAAAAAAAATAGACGCGGTCGAATGCTGTGGCCCTTATCCATCCTTCAGACGAGGGCATTCGTTGAACCACCAAACAATCCATCCACTCTTGCACAATCATTATCAATACACCAACCCAGGCTTCATAAAGAACCACTCCAACACCCCCCCAACGCAGGCAAGCTTTTGGGGCACACTTACACAGACATTATGACAGAATCTGGCCGGATTTCTGATCAGCTACACGCAGAACAGTCCTAGTGTGCTTATGCGTTGAGGGTTAAGGTGACAAACGACTGCCGATTCGCTTCAAAGCCCAATCGACAGCAAGAAGGGAGGCAAGACAAAGCACAGAGAAGGTCACATACCTAGGGTTGCACCGCCGAACTTTATTTCACCACGAGCCACTTGTGCCTTTCCCCCTCGCTTGTTACCACCAATAGTTCCATCAGCCACACTCTCAACCCGACTCACCAACGCTGCCACCAGATCGGGCCGAGCCGCCAGCTCTTCGGGATTGACACCCTTGACCTACATACACCGCCAACCAACCACCCAACGTACACTCAGCACTGTCCTCTCTCTCCTTTTGTGATTTTTCTTCCAGAATATTATCGAAAAACACCCAACATACAGTCAGTACTGCACTCTCACACTCCTTTTGTGATTTCTCTTCCAGAATATCATCGAGAAACACCCAACATACAGTCAGCACTGCACTCTCACACTCCTTTAGTGATTTTTCTT